GTGTGAAACTGGGTTAGCCTTTGTGTCAAATCCTTTCCAAAACTTGTTCAGCACTACACATTCTCTCAAAATCCTTTCTCCCATTATGCCGCAATTACATCAGACAAAACTTCCATTCAAGTGCACCTATATTTTCAGTAATCACCGCTTATGAGCTAGTTATGACAAATGAGTGGGCCTGCTCGCTCCAAACCCTATTATTGACCTTTGAACTTTGAGAACAATCAGAAAAATCAAAATGGCTGATTGCGGTCACTTTGGGCTTACCTCTCTTTGTTCTTGCGGTGCCATCAATTTCATCCACTACTGTTAGGAAGCAGAGGAAATAAAGCAGAAAGAGGGTGTTAGTTAGCGTTAGCAACAAGAAAAAGCGCTAAATAGCCTAGCGTACGTGCTAAATTGCTACGATTCGATGTGACCCCGGCGCTTGTCAATCAGGAGATTTCACAAATGACAAAAACACAATATATTAGCGGGTTTGGCACGCTTCAGTCGTGGTGTTTGGTCTAAGTGGAAGGGAATTGTGGGTAGTCAGAGGAGGGTTAGCGTATTAGCATAGCAGAAATAGCGGCGGGTTTCAAAGGTGAATTCCATCTGTGTGTGTGATAGGAGAGCCTGGGAGACAATTATGAGGGACAAACATGCAGAGATGGAGGGGAATGGAAAGCAGGGATGAGGTGGGTCGAGTCACGGAAGAAGCAGAAGAGGACTGGTAAAAAGGCATGTTTTTTATATATTTTATTTATTTATTCCAAAAACCAGAGTTAAAAAATGGGTTTAGGCTGTTTACGAGAAGTAAAAATGAACAGTCGGAATGTTTGGTCTCAACATTTGCGGTGTTGGTGGTTTGTTTTTCTCTGCTGGAACGTCCGTCTAATGCTTTTCTCCATGGACATGTTATTGCTTTGTTTGGAATGTTTCACAGTATGGCATTGAACTTTTCTTTTCTTTCTTCATGGAGACCAAACTAGACCATGTTACAGGTCAGATCTGTGGAGAGGCGAGTCAGAATGTCTATTTTTCTAGGTATTTTTTTCAGCAGTAAAACCACCTGTAATTGAATAAATGTAAGGTAAAGCTGTTTAATGTCATACTGTGGAACATTCCAGACAGAACACTGACATCTCCATAGAAACAAGTTACATAGTGCACCTTTAATGCCAGTTTTGTCAATAAAATAAAACAATAACAATTATTTAAAAAATGCTATAAGGTTATTTTTTGTTGTTTAATGTTAAATCTACTACAAAACACAACAAAAATTATTTATTGTTAGTAGTTTTAACTATTTCACTTGTACAATTCAAATAAAGACACACATTCCATTGCATAATTTATTTCATTTTTTTCTATATTTTTATTAGCTTAAGTAGAAGTCCACTTTGATTCCATTTGCAGATCAGTTTGCTTGAAATAAGCATAGTTCATTTGAAAATAAATAAAGATTTTGCTAACCTGGTCAAAACTGGGTATGCGCCGATTCTGGTATCAGATATCGGCACTGATCCTGAAAAAATTGCTGGAGTTGATATTGGTTTCCATATAGTATCTGTCCAGCCGATATCCTGGTTAGACATACGTAATGATATAATAAGACTATTTATTGATCGTAGTTGCCCTAGAAAGCCTCATTTTGGAATTTTTGGTTGTTGTTGTTGTACTTCAACAGTTGCTTAAAAAGTTGCGTAACACATTTGGATCAGTTTTGTCTTATTTTATTTTTTGCTGGAAATAATTGCTGTTTTTTAGTCTGTGCTCTGGTATCAGTTGATATCGGGTATCGGCAGACACTTGAAGCTACAGAATCGAAATCATTATCAGAACTGGAAAAGCTGTAGCAGTGCATCTCTAGTCAAACCTACTCAAATCTAAGGATACATCCATCAAAACTGAAACTAAATTGGCATTAAAGGTGCACTGTGTAACTTTTCGGTGGGGTTCCGTCACCTGCTTGTTTCTATGGAGAAGTCATTACTCTGCTTCAAATGTTCCACAGTGTGACATTAAACAGCTTTACCTTATATTTATTCAGTTACAGGTGGTTTTATAGTTCAAAAATATGAAGAAAAACTGGTATTCTGACTGTGAGCGGGTTCGCCTCTCCACAGATCTAACCTGTAACTTGGTCTGGTTTGGTCTCCATGAAGATAGAAAGGTTTAATACCATACTGTGAAACATTCCAGACAAAGCAATAACATCTTCATGGAGAAAAGTTTCTGACAGACCTTCCAGCTGAAAAATTCCACAATGCACGTTTAACATCGAAACTAATCCTGGACTAGACCAAGACTAAAACAGGACCAAACCAAGTCTACCATTGATACCAGACTGGACTCAAACCAATACGCAACAAGAACAAAACTGAATGCACCTTTAGTGAATTTAGTGTGGTTGTAACAAATGTATACAAATGACTATTTAAAGGAACTTAGTCAGATTCATTACTAGTCATAACTTCTCTGAAACCTATAATTGTAGAAACAAGAATAACAAAATTTGCTACTAACTGTCCTATCATAATCCAAGTGATATGAAGGAGATGGGTGGGCAGGATGATTCCATTGTGTTTTCCGTCTACTGTCTTATCATTGGCGGATTGGGTTTCCACGCTAAAATCTTTCACAAAAGCTAATACGGCGCGGACAGATAAGCGCGCTAAGTGGATCCCCGTTCTCGGCGTTGAGGACGGACACAATAAACAGCAGTGTAGTAGCAGTCATCCCATTTACAAAAAGACGGAGGCACTTTAGCACAATTAGAAAGCTTTTGTGATCAAAGTCTATGATAAAAAGTGCATTTCCAACAAAGACCACCCCATTATGTTGTGTTATCTCTTCTGTCTGAGCCGCACGAGCTTCCTGTCTTCAGCCATATTCAATTATATTATCAACGCGGTGTTTTATAACCAAAGGAAAACAGCTATTGGATGACTTTATTTTTTGGGATAAAAGTTGGGAGTAAGGTTTTTTGGTAAAGGGTTCATATTACGCTGTTTTCTGATCTGTTCTAATGTTGTTTCTTCATCACAAACAGACCTGGATTTGTGTTTTGTTTCAGTCACACACTTTTAACACACAAACCCTGTATTTTTAGGCTGAGTTCTTCTCTCAAACTGAAAACACTTTGTTCCGACTTGTAGCTGTGGTTATGTGGTGATACAGGAAGTGCTCCACTGTGTTTTTAAACTCCATACACCTTCATTAGAATAACCTGTTGACTTGAAAACTACCGCTTCATGACATCACAAGGTGGAACAGAGCATTTTGAGCTTTAGAAGATGTAGACCAGACACGTCAAACTCAGGCCCGGGGACCAAATTTAGCCTGCAATATAATCATATTTGGCCTGCAAGATCATATCAAATATATATTTGAGCTGCTTGCCGGCTACAGATAGACTATAGAGACAATTATTTATTTAAAATTGTGTTATTTTATTTTATATTATGCTTGTTCTGGATTAGCCAGGTTGGCGCCACCATAGTGCCTCTGCTTAATTTCATTTCTTCCAGGGACTAGGTCAGGAATCAAAACACACTAGAGGGTTCACAAAACCCCCGGAAGTGCGAGTTCGGGCACCAGCCAATCAGCGAAGAGTCATATACTCTGTGTTGGCAACGATTCCCAAGATCGAGGATTTAAAGCCAGAATAAGGAGAATGTTTGGTGAATTTTATCCAGGGGGAAAGACGTTATTGTCCTTCTTCCTACGGGAATTTGAAAAAGCTTAATATACCAGTTATCCCCATTAGCGGTGCATTACATATGTCACAACCAAATAGCAGCGATTGATTAAATGAAAAAAGTACCAGCCTACCTTCGAGCAAACAAATTCTAACACTGCAAGGTCAGACGGTTTCTGCGAAGTGAAACTGAATCCAGAACTAGCCTGATTCATGAGCCAATGTTTAAGCAAAACTATTATTAAACATATATTTTAATTAGAAAAGGTTTAACATTACATATCTCGACAGAAGAGAAAACAAGCAGATGTTGCTGAAATTTCCCATTAAATATTTAGTTTGGCGCATGATTTAGTCTCAATTTTTAATTTTGGCATCTGTGAATTTGAGTTTGGCACCCCTGATGTAAACAAACTAATAATAAAGACTTACTCAAACATATGTGAATGAAATAAAACACAACTGCAGGTCTGTTTTTGAGGAGGTAATAACATTATAACATGGTTAAAAGCTTGAAAGTGTCAATTTTGTGGAATATCGGACCTTTAATAATTGAAATTTGGTCAATTTCGAACGCAAATTATTATAAAATATTAAAGGGGGCATTCCTCTTTTTATGTAATAATGTTAAAATGGTCTAACTCCAGCAAAAATATATTTGCCGTGGATTCAGATTGGTTGTGCTTGTATATTCTATGCACCTCAGATTAACAGTGTTTCGCCTGTTGATGGAAATCCGAGATGGGGGTTTATTTAATTCTTTTTTGCTCTTAAGTAGCCATATTGGTTGATCCATGTGCTTCCCTGATTGGCTAATCCACCTGTCAATCATGCCCATCTGAACCCGGGGAGATAAAACCAGTATAGAGCTTTGTATTAGAGAAGTGTCAGCATAATCCTTCAGTTGTCCAGGTGGGATATATGGCCAAAGAAAATTTAATTCTATCAAGTGTCAAGTTTTTGTTGTTGGCCTATTTTTGTGGAAAAAATTGTCCATAATTGTTCTTTTGCCATTGGAGAAGTGTGTATTCTTGGTTGGCCAGACAACAGATATATTGTTAAATCAGGACTAAGGGTCAAAATGAGACTGCTGTTTTCTATCTGCATCTAATAATTATCATCCGTGAACGACAAAGTTAGTGGGTAGTTATGTGTCATCTGTGTAAATGGCTTCTTCGACCAATACCAATCTCTCAATCAAAAAAGTCCCAAGGTTGATTCAGAAACCCATTCACTCACAAGGTGCAGTTCCACCAGCTTATCTCACAGGCAGGAGCACATAAAGGGTAAGTCAGTCAAAGAACATGCAGAGACGTACCTAGATCCATGCTCTTGGACTTGCGTGATCGTACGATGTCCAGCTGGTTGGCGTTCTCGAACTGTTTGGTCCGTTTCTCAGACATGCTCTGCCGGCCGAAGCCTTCTCTCTGGAACGAACCGTCAGCCTCTGCGTCCGGACTCAGGGTGCTGAGAAAAAAAATCAAGACAGAGTAAGATGTGAGGCCCCTTTGCTTGTAAGTGCTTAATGGGAAACTATAACAATGGTTTTGAAACAGCAGGTAGTCATCTTTTTTGAGATTTTACCATAAAAGTTTGGTGGATTGTGAGATTGTGTGAAATGTTTGTTTTTCCAGTATCCATGCAAGAGGCTAGCTAAGGAGCTGGCTATGGAATATTGAGATGTTACAGGCTTTTTACACCATATGTGGCAGAAAATGTGGCAGAAGACCTTCCAGAGGAAACACTTTGAGGGAATGGACTAGGGGTGTAAGAAAAAAATCAATTCAGTGATATATTGTGATACTTCATTGTACAATTCTCGAACTGATTCAAAAAGGATCTGATACAGCTGTGTTCTCTTGAAGGTGTAGCTGGCTGTATTATTACAAGCAATTACTGATAAATCACAATATATTATCCATTGTTTTAGTATCGGGACATATGATATATCAAAACATGACATGCATATAATGATATGTATCATATTGTCAGACTCAAGGCGATGCACACCCCTAGAATGGACCATTTCATCACCAACTGAAACACCAGAGTTGAGTAAAAAACAGGCCTTTCCTGTTGTGTTCACCTGGCTCCTCCTGGACACTGCTGTGATGACAAAAAGGAGGCACAGTTTTGACCTGCTGACCCTCCCTGACCAGTCCTTAAACTGCACGGAGACCTTTGACTGAGACACAAAGGCCACAAAGAAGCACAGTGCAAATGTTGCAGCAGCAAAACCTGAAGTCTCTCTCTCTTTCTACAGACAACTGTGGAAATATTGTCCTTAGATATCCATTTGTGTTTTGCCCAAGGACACTACAACTGTCAGAGTTGGAAGCACACCAAAGGTCAGATCCATGGACCACTCTCCAAGGATTTGAACAGACAACATTTAGATCAGTGAACAAACACTCTGAGGACCTTCTAAGGACTCAAAGGACATTATTTTATCTTCTATCATAAAAGTAATTATTTCAGAAAGTTTGCTTATGAGGTGAGGGAAGAGTTGGAAATTTGAGGCATGTCGGCATGTTATTTTGTTGTTATCCTTTAGACTTTTTGAATTTTGTCTACTCTACTTACCAGTTTGAACTTCTATACCCTATCTTACCTCAAATGCCCTTCGCTTCCACCTACACTTTATTATTCACTTTCTTGACTTTAATTAGAAAACCTGCTCTGAAAACTGGCCTGTCCACTGTGGCTGGAGGCTGGGGTCACTGCCACTCCCCCACCCCCTCCCCTGCCCCTGTCCCCGTGAGGGGCCTATCTGCGTCTGGATCTTAATGGAAAACCTGGGAGGAGAGGCACAAACAGACCAGCTTAGGGGCCCGTGGACATTAGCATACACAAGAGCCCGGCCACAATTAAGGTGAGGACTTGTTGGCATTTAAAGGCAACGCAAAGACGGGTGATGAAGCTCTGATGAAGTCTATAGGTTATTAAGAGAGGAGAGTGTGGAATGCTTGATCAATGTGTCCTATTGAGATGTTCCACTGGCATTGTCGGACATTTTAAGATTTAGATGTTCAATTTCATAAACTATGTCCTTAGATACGAGGTTAACATGTTAAAATCACGTATAGCTTTGACTGATAACAGTTCTAATGCAGATTTATTTTTAATTACACAAAACATTGTGAACAAGTTGTTGCTGTATCCAATCAGAAAGCAGAATGAGACTCACATAACGCTTCTCATTTGTGTTGCCAGTTCCATTGATTGAGTGATTGAACTGATGTGTCCAAACGTTTGACTGGTAGAGTATGTATCTCCAAGAGAAGCTAATTATATTCAAGAGGTGGGACCAAGTCGTTGTTTTGCAAGTCTCAAGTAAGTTTCCAGTCTTTGACCTCAAGTCTGAGTCAAGTCCCAAGTCAAGTACAGACAAGTCCAAGCAGAGTCTCGAGTCTCTGGCCCATAAGTTCGAGTCAAGTCCGAGTCATGTGCTTTGAGCTTCAAGTCATTTCAAGTCTTTAAATCAAAGTACCAAATATAGCTTAGATTTTTGCAATTTGTGAATTTTTCCTTTTTAAATGTCTTGACAAGACATTAGTAAGTCTTTATTTAGTAAGTCTAAGTAAGTCTATTTATGTATATGGCACTTTTCATTACAGTCAGAATAGAAAGAATTCAGATTTAAAAGTGCTTCTCAAATCTTTTAAAGTCACAGGGCTCAAGTCCAAGTCGATTCCCAAGTTTCACTCCATTTTATCAAGTCAAGTCTAAAGTCCTAAAAATAGTAACTCAAGTCTGAATTCAAGTCACGACTTGCAAGTCCCCACACCTCTGTTATACACATTAGGCGTCAGATCTGTGGAGAGGCGACCCTGCTTATAGTGTTTTTGTGTCCATTCTGCATTATGGCATCATCTGCTGCTTTGTCTCGTTAAAACAGCAGGAAAAATCATCCTGGGCTTCTCTGTCATCCTCCACAGCAGCTGAGGAATGTACCATGAGATAGATCTATGTTGCTTTTCCTTGTTTCTGTTCTGACAAAAGATGGAATCCTTAAATCGTCCACAAAACCCAAACTTTTCTGTCCATGCACTCATCTAACCAGGAATAAAAAGTATCTCCATGAAGCGAAACTATTTCCTTGGCCTATAAAACATTCCCAAGTACACCGCTCCATTGTAACACGAGCGACTGACGATTCTCCAGTACCTGTTTGCATGTCCCCATTCTTATTTAGCTTGTCAAAACCATTTTAACAAAAGACAGGCCTTCGCGGACCTGTCATCCCGGCCGTCTATAGTGTCTACCTGACAACCGGAGCCCCCCTCAGGACCCCCCACCACCCCCTCCCGCCCGCACAGGAGCCAATGGGAACGCAGATCTATTATTCATGTGTCCGTCAAACATGACTTCACTCTGCCTCTCATCAACCCCACAAAGATCCGAGGAAAAAAGGGGGTGAAAATCAACGCTGTCCTCCCGTCTCAGCAAATGTCATACAGCCGAGCGTGACTGAAGAGGACTGAGGAGCGGGTGAATACAAAGAAGAGGGGTTTTGTCGGAATTGTGTGGGGAACTGTTGGAAAAGTTGTGATTTTCTGAGAGTTAAAGGACACATACTACTACTTTACACTGTATGGTTTCTGAACTTGACTTAACTTTTCTGGTTGAGGGTCTGTCACAACCTCCTTGTTTCTATGGAGATGTCATTGCTCTGCCTGGAATGTTCCACAGTATGACATTAAACAGCTCTACCTTACATTTATTCATTACAAGTGGTTTCATAGCTCAAAAATACCTAGAAAAACAGGCATTCTGACTGTGAGCAGGGTTGCCTCTCCACAGATCTGGCCTGTAACTTGGTCTAGTTTGGCCTTCATGAAGATAGAGAGATTTTATACCATACTGTGACTTAAAGGGGCTGTCACACCTCGACAATTTAGCCAGCATATACCGATGTATGATGTATGTAAATTTGGCAAATCTGCTGGCGTACGTCAGATAAGTTCTAGGTAAGTATTGTATAAATTATGAGCACGCTGAAGCATGCTGGCATACGTTGGCATACGGCAAGGTCATTGAAAATTTTGAGCATGCTGAAAATTTCTCAACATATGTCAGTGTGTGCTTATACGTCCTACATACATGGGCCTTAAGTTGTAGGTAAGTGATGCAATCGTTGACACACGTTCATACAAGTTAATTGTAAGTCCAAATACGTTGAGAAAATGTCTAGCGTACACGACTTATGAGTACCTTGCTTTGAACCTACATATTTGCACATTTGCATATTGACGTATGCAAACATGTCTGACCTGTTCCGAACATGTTCCACAGAACTTACTGAACATGTTTCTAACTTAGAACTACTGTATAATGGCGTATTGACAGCGTGTAGAGAAATTGGTTTATAAAAATGGGGAAACTGTCAGTACTCCTCCAGACTTCATGGTCTGGAGTTGTCTTCAGTATGACAGTAATTTATTTTGCTACTGCGATGTCTAGTGCAGTTATGAATCGTCGAGGGACAGCCTTTTTATAGGCGATGACACATGAGCATCGACGATACACTGCCGTGCGCTTATGCATAAGTTAGACGTCGTTGGGCAGAAGTTGTGGACGCTGGCAACACGCTAAGCATTAGTTGGTATTAGTTATATATAAGTTATCAAAACATTCTATACAAGTTTCTAATACATTATGTATACGTCCAACTCGTTACGAATATGACATGTATACACCCAAAATAAAAAAATAAAATCAAATAAAAAAGCATCAATAGTTCAGCGTATGCCAGCATTTTAGGGAAATTCTGGTATGTCGGCATACGCTGGCTATATCGTCAAGGTGTGACACGGCCATTAGAGAGAAAGCAAGAACATTGTTATAGAGAAAAGTAAGAAAAGTACACAGAAGCAACACAATGTACCTTTGAAGGACACATACCATCCACTGTTTGTAGTGTTACTGGACTTTCTTGTGTTGATGACGATTTATGAACTTACAAACTGGACAAGGTTTCTAGGACCTTTCTTAAAGGTCCTATATTACGCCAAATCGAATCATGTGAGCTTTAAGTCATGGTCGAATGTTGTTACCTCCTCAAAAACAGACCTGGAGTTGTGTTTTGTTTCATTCACACACGTTTGAATAATCCTGTGTTATTAGTCGGTCAACATGTCTAAAGGTCAATATGCTCTGTTCCACCTTGTGACGTCATGAAGTGATAATTTTCAGATGAACAGCTACATTTTACCTTTTGTTCAGTCGAGATTGGCAATAATTCTAGGGCTAAAATCAACCAAAAGATTCTAGTGAAGGTGTATGGAGTTTCAAAACACAGTGGAGCACTTCCCGTATTACCCCATGACATCACAAGGTGGAACAGTGTTTTTTTTGTTTGAGAGAAGAACTCTTTTGGGTGTGGGTTTGTGCGTTAAACGTGTGAATGAAACAAAACACAACTCCAACATCAGAACACAGATCAGAAAAATGAGTGAAAAGAGAAG